GACCAACGACATGCAACAATGTTAAAGACGTAAGTGAATCACCGGATAAGCGCAAACCGAAGCCATGCAAGCCGTTTGTACCTGCACAGGAAATTGACGTGCCGTTATGGCTGTGCAGTCGCCTGCCGAACTCGAACGATTATCGATCACAGACATCCGGACTGCATCCACACCCAGCGCGAACACCTCAAGGCACCCCGCCTGAAATCAGAAACAATAGAGGCCTCCGCTCAAGGGTACGCCCGATCTTGCGTTGCCAAGGTCCTAGACGATGCGTTGCGGTTTCAGCCTTGTTTTGTCCAGGCCCCATAGGCGTTCAACGACGTTTGTCAGCTCGGTGCACCGTCGACCGCTGTCCAACACTGAAGAACTCTGCTTCGTCGCAGAGCAACACCCCTCAAACATAGCCACCAGCCTGCCGTCGATACTACTGACTACTTGACACCAAGTTGTCTCTGCTGCTTCCAACCACGTAGTGCGCTGCACACACAGTGCCTATCGAATTCACTGAGAACAGTTATCCTGTCCACTCTGTCTCGCAAACGTATTAACCATCGACAGTGCGCACCGCCCCAGGAAACAACAAGCAAACGCACGCCGAAAGCAAAATGGATTCCCACGTCTTCTCACACGCTTACTCCATGCATCTCAACGCATGCAGATGCGCACCCTTGACTTCCATCGGAAACCTCCAAACGTAAACGGAGCCATGCGCGCACCCACCCCACCCAACGGGTTTGCTCCCAATGCATACTGCCTGTGCACAAAACAGACGATGTCGCAAACAAAAAACACGCTCCACAGCTTCACGGCCGTACTCCCAAGCAAACTGCGCAACGCCGCCATTCTCACTCGCTCCGATCCGCTTGAGAACCGCCATGTGCTGCCTGTATGCGCCTACCAACCAACCGATCTGTCTTCACCCAAGGCGACCCACCGAAACGCAACCTTAGTGTCAACCTCAAAACGAGGCAGCAGCCTGCATCGGAACGCATGTGGAAGCGTCTCCGTTTCGCAGACCAACGACATGCAACAATGTTAAAGACGTAAGTGAATCACCGGATAA